ATTATTATGTTGTCCTGATCTTTGAAGGTTCGTGTGATATTCAGGTCTATGAATTTGCTAACAAGAAATCTTGCTGACTGGATTGGAGCCCAGGCTCAGAGCAGGAGTGACTACTGCTGCTAGAAAACACTAGAAGATATGTACAAGGTCATCCCATTCCCTTTTCTAATTTTATGACATGTGGTCCTGCTCAAAAACAATGAGGTTGCTGGACTTCTACCTTTGGGGTTTTGGCTACAGAAAGTGTCAAAGAGATTGAACCTTGGATTTGGCTGAAGGAAGAGGACTACTTTTCCAGAGCCCATGGTTTCTACTGGAGCTACAAAAAGAGAGAACAAGTGCATTAGTTCCGCTTTTCCTCTCTATCTTCAAATCAAAAGGGTCTTTGCATTATAAGACCAGTATGCTTAGCACTGCCTTTGTAATGTGTTTTAGGTTGTGTGGAGCCCACATAGAGGGGAGGGGCTGCAAGAAACATGATTTGAGTGCAGATTTCAAGTGAGCCAAACGAGGTGGCTGTGCAGCCAGAGTGGATTTCAGTAAAGCCAGGGGTTAGGCAGAAAGAGCTCTACCACAGAGATAACCTTAAAAGGGTCTAAAACATGGAGTCCAGCAGCAGAAGTGTGAAGCTGCTGCCACTGCAGGTGTGCCTCTTCAGGGTGTTCAACTGGCAGAAGTGTGAAGCTGCTGCCACTGCAGGTGTGCCTCTTCAGGGTGTTCAACTGGCAGCAGGTGAATATAAATAAGGTGCACAGACGGTGTGTGGAGGAGAAGGGGAAATTAATGAACGGTCTAACTGCTGAGCTCGGTAACACAGAATGAAAACATGTTGAACTTGACATGTCTGTGCTGCTGCTTTTGTAAATGCTGATGGCTAAACAGAGTGTCTCTGTGATTTAAAAAAAAAAAAAAAAAAAAAAAAGCTTGTGTGTATCTTAGGGATGTTAACAGATAATTTGTTTGCTTAATCAATGAAATCCTGATTGATTATCAAGTGTGATTTTGACCCTATTCCTGAACTAGGGCATTTAAAGAGAAAATATTTTCTAACTCTGGATTCTTTTTTCAAAAAATAAAAATCAAAATTCACATCTCCTTAGGGAGCTGTAATCTTCAGTGCCCAGTATTATCCTACATCTTACAACACAGGGCTATGTAGAGCTACAGAGCGTCTGTTAAACTATCTCCAGAACAAGAAGCAGTGGAAACCTGTCAGCATGGTCCTGTGTGAGTGTTATTTGCACAGCTGGAAGTGTAGAGCAGATCAGATTAAAAAACTTTTAGTCCTCAGCTAGTGTCTCTCGCACAGGGCTTTGCTGTGCTCTGCCTCAGCTTCTCTGTGAGCTGGCAGAGAGATTGTTAATACAGCTCATTTCTGCTTGGAGCTGGCATACCCCTGTGTCTACAAGTAGAGTTCCCGCAGTACTTACCCCTCTGTTGATGCTCCAAAACAGTTTCCAGTCTGGCAAGATTTAAACATATCAGTAACTATATTATGACTAGGTCCTGTCAGATGTATTCCTCTGACAGTTCTTTGGTCAGTCTTCCTCTCTTTTTAGTGACCATATAATTGAAATTTATAATTGATCCTGGAGAGGTGACTAAGGGATGATCCTTCTTCATACGAATATCCTAATCCCTGAGATGGACAATCCACTTCTTTTCTCAGTCGGACTCATAGTTGTTCCACATAAAGGAGTTGTCAGTAGGATACATGGAGGGTGACCCACCTAGAAGACTAGGCTGCTTCTGACATTTCCCACACCTCTCTTCTGTCAACAAGCAGGGGCATTAGCACAATGGAGTATTTCTCTGAGTTCACTCTTTGATGTTACTTGATTTTTACATTAGCATAGTTCATTGGAGCTGTTTTTACTTAAGAGTTGTGAACCCATTAGTCCATGAGTACATGAATTAAAAGAAAGTCTGCTCCCAACTCTTGCATCTCAGTCTCAACATAGAATGTAGTGTCAAAATGTGAATACAGACAAAGAAAAAGGGAAGTACAGCCTGAGAAATTAAGCATCTTTAACCCAAAGGAGAGCTTACGGTGTATAGACATCCAAAATCTATTTGTTGTGTTTCTGGCTTTGCTGCAAATGAGAAATAGAAAGACAGCAAAGTATGAGTATGTAATGAAAGACAGCAGTTCAAACTGATAATATGTGGGAATCAGCTTTCTACTTATCAGGATATGATGGATAATTTGCAGAGAGATTCTGGAAGTGAGCATAAGTGATGAATCTGACACAATAGGGAAAATAATGTTGTAATAATCAGGATATGAAGTGAGTAGATACCATCAAAGAGTTATCCTTATATAGATTGACATGAAAATCTATATCATGGAGATGTTATGCAATAAATATCTCCAAGGCTTCTATTTGTGCTGTGTTGAAGATAATGCCCAAGATATGCACCAGAATAACTGATAATAGCAAATGGGAGAAAACAAGGAAGTCTGGGTAGGAAGTCATATGTCAGAAGACTTGACAAAGTTTGGTTTTTACCTCATGGGAAGTTAAAATTGTCATTAAACACTTGGAAAGGGTAATCAAAGAGTCCACAATTTTATTTTGGACAAGTAACAGATTTGTGTTTCAACATAGAGGTTGGCAGAGTATTTAGAGGAAAAGCACAAAGAAAATTTCTGTGGTGACTGAGAATCAACCTAAATCTCTGCAAAAGTTAGGCAAGGATAGAGAAATCCCAAGCAGTACGCTTAGGGAGGTGAGAGGAGAATACGTCAAAGTTGATGGGCTGAAAGTCACAGCAAGATGTCAGGTTGACAGACAGTGCTGAAGGGGAGTGAGCCAGAGAGATGGTATTTAGCAGAAAACAAACCTGAGAGGAACAAGAGCTAGCACAGGATGGTAAAAAGAAGACTCCATTTTCATTGTTGAAGAGAGCATAGGAGGATTGAAATATGATTGCAGGACACATGCAAATGGGAGATGTGAGGACAGGAAAACACAGTTGATGTTCCTCTGATTCTTCATCATGGATGCTGAAGTATGAGAGGAATAAAGAAAGGAAAAGAGGAGAGAGTAAAAGAAGGAAGAGGCTATCAGTCAAAATCAGAGAGGAGTACTATGGGGAGGAACTGAATGAAGCAACTGGTGGCAACAGATTTAGATGGGGGCTGAGAAGGAGAGGAAGGTTTCGTGCAACCTTGTTTGAAACAAGAAAGGATATGGTGGAAAATAGAAGAATGGGAAAAGCCTTTTACATACATGGGTCACTGAGGAAACAAACACACACAGTATCTGAGGGAAAACAGTGTGGGCAGCGTTCCAAGGAAGAGCCCTTGTGCCTGTCAAGTGTTGTTGATCAAAAGGAAGGAAAGCTGAAAAGGTATTGGATAATCTTGTGTAGAAAGGGATATAGGAAACTTGGAGGAGTGGAGGAGGCACATAACCCACAAGAATAGTCATACGGGAGAGATGGACAAGTAACACAAATTAGGTGAATGGAAAGCTGTCTGCCTTTGTATGGATGTCGCAAGGGGTAGAGAACAGGAAGGGAAGAAGGGGATTTGTTCCTGAGCAGCAGCCCTCAACAGCCCTTTGCGCCCTTTACCAAATGGGATCTAAAACTTGTCTTTGCCTGCATACCTCTGAACTGATGACCACAAGATTTACAGTAGCAGTTTAACTTCAGATCTGTATCTAAAAAGTACTGGGAGCCAAGTGCCTTAAATCCCATGTTATTAGTTGTGTTGCCAGACACCAGTTATTAGATCTGTGAGCAGAGCATCAGTCACCTCCTCTGAAGCCTATGAATCTGCTTCAGTGATAATACTGACTTCTCCTTACTCTTCTAATGGATCGGTGATTAGATTTTATAATCAATCGATATATTATTACAATTTCTAGCCAGATCTTAGTAACTATTAAACAGAGGGATCTAAGGGAACTCTTTTAGAGATATAGAGGGGTTTGTGGTTGTGGGGTTTTTTTTAACATAGGATACATGTGAAGTCTTGGCAATTAATTTGTTAAAATGTTGCAGAGTACAGGACTATGTACATTCAAGATATTAGGTATTTTGCCTTTTTTAGCTCCTGCTTAGTGCTTGAAAATGCTATTCGACTTAACATTTTCAAATCTATTTTTTTTTATTCTTTTGTTAAAAATATCTAGTTATACTACCCAGAGAGAGAGAGAGAGGGAAAGAGAGAGGGAGAGATCTGCTCTCTTGAAAGTACCTACCTCTCCAATTAATGTATTAAAAAATTCTATACTTGCTATTTACCTGCAGGTATGTCAAATGAAAGGAGATTTTAGGCTTCTACAGAAAAAACATCACTAAAAATAATAATAAGAATAATAAAATAGTAACATAAACCATTTTATATACACCAACTAAGATGCCCCTGGTCTCATTAGCTTTTTAGATGCTAGAAAATTGTTCTGTAAAATGTGTTGGTACAAGCTGGGCTGAACTGCTGTGAAACGCTGGGCAGTCCGTGCTGAGCTGCATTACTCTTGCAGACCTCTTGTAAAGGTGCTTTATCAGAAAATGTTTTGACAGATTTTTTTGCAGGCATGATTTTGTTTTCCCTTCCTTCTTCCATGAATAATTGGAGAAATTGATTTAAAATCTCTACCTCCCAGGTATTGGGGGAAATATTTTTTCTCTAAGTCTTTACCTACTCTTGAAAGAGGATTTAAAAAACAACCTCTGAATTCTCTGGAGTTAGAGTTAAGGTGATTTTTAGGAGGAGTTAGCAGCCAGTCAGCCAGGATAAGCAGCAAACCGAGGTCCTTGCCTGTTTAAAGCAGCATTAGCAGACCCTAAAATATCCTGTATCCAAGGATGCTGTGCAACACCTGACCGGCGACCACCTTTCACAACCCTGCTGAATTAAAACAACTCTGCAAAGTAGGGGAGGTTGAGAGATGCCGAACTGTCCTGTGAGGCTGCCTCAGCCCACAGGTAACTGACACAGCCTCTTCCTCCAAACGGCTCCAGCCCCTCTTGCTTCTCGATCTTCCTACCTTCCCTGCCATCTGTTCCCGCTGCTCCTGCAGCCTCCCCACTCTCCTCCCGCCAGGGCCTGTCTGAGCAGACGGGTATGAGAGCCTCTGATGAGGTAGGCCTCGGGCCCCTCCATCACTCCTCGCCACGAGGAAAGCACCAGCTGTCTGGCTTCATTTGCATTTTCTCTCCAAAATAATGAAATTAGCCATGAGTATCCTGAGGTGATGCGAGACGCAAATTTAGGCTGGATGTGTCAGCGTGTGCTGGGAAGGGAGAGGGAAGGTCACGGAGGATGCTTGCAGCATTGAAATGGAGGGCAAGACATCTCCTGCCGGCTGCAAGGGCCCTGCAACCTGGGGAGAGGCTTGACGTGCGGCCGGCACAGCTCCTCATGCCCTCGGCCCGCACCGTCACCTCTTCGCCCCGACAGAGACGTCCACCCTGTGTCCGAACAGACACGGGCAGAACATATGAGTGTGTTTCAGCTTGGTGCTGGCCAGACCCAGACGTCAGCACTCAGCTCAGGAGTGCAGCCGGGCTGGTGTTTCAGTGTGCAGTAGCTGTGCAATGGTGATTCCTGGCGAGGCCGGCCTGGCTGCCCATCACACCTTTTCCACGGCGCAACTGTCTCTAATTACTTCAGTGTTTGCTCAATCAGAGCTTGTCTCAGATGTTGCTCAGCAATCCTCATCTCTGCTTCACGTTTCTGATTGCCCGAAGTAGAGAGGAAGATATTTGCTGAAGTGCTTCCCAAAGTACTGCTAACACAAGTGACCAGGCTGAGGTTCCAGCCTTACAAGCTCTCGTTGCACTGGGGACAGTCACTGCTTCTTCTGTTTTTACTGTTATTCTTTGCACATAAAAAATTTATTTAGTGCATATATAATTATATAGCATACAAGCACTTCTAAAGCATACAGGAAAGCTGGGTTTTCATATTCTTTGTCCTAATTGTTCTCCAGTGATAAAGAGCTATGGGCTCTTTTAGATACCTGTAGAAGAATTCTAATTGTAAAATAGCACTATCTAAATGAAGACTTAAAATAATTAGAAAAAAGACATAATAGCACTAGCTGGATGGAGACTCAAAATAGTTAGAAAAGAGGCATTTTGAAAAATAATTAAAGAGAAAAAGTTTTAAAAGCGATTTACCTTTATTTGTGTACATATTTGCTCAGATAAGTTTATGAATTAGCTTATTATGCAAACAACCCCTTGTGAGAGAATATCACGAAATATTCTTGAAAATAAGAGTTTTCCTTTCTAAAGATCAATGTTTTCACAACTGAACTCTGTAACAGACTTATACCAAAACTAATTAATGCACTGTGGTTTTGCTATCAAATGCTCACATTAAATTCTTCATGAAAATAAAGGGTTAGCTATGCATTATGAACTAACCTCAGAGGGACTAGTTTCAGCAACTAATAGATTCAATATGGTTATATTACAGACAACTCAGATCATTTATTTTTAAATGCAAATTGTTTGGTCTGCTGCAGCAAGTGAGCTATGGACATAAAAATGTGTGTCTGTGTGTATGTGTGTAAGAAAAAAAAGTCTCAGCTGCCAGAACAGATTTGGTCACTCGTGACATCTTCAGGCTAGGTGGCTGGTGATGGATTCAAATGCAGCCTGTGAAGCTGCACTTCCTCTTGACCATGTTGAAAGATCAAGTGTTCCCCCCAATTTTTTTTCTTCTGCTTCATACACATAGCAATAGTCTAGGATTTCCAGCCAAGAAGCTGGTTACAGGGGCCTGTGCTGAGGGCCACCAAGACAAGGCAGAGTGTTCTACATGTAGTCTAATGGGTGCTGAGATGCACCCATTAGATAATAATTTCAGGAGCAACTGGCTATGGTTTGTTAACATACAGGTTGTGACCTATAAGACTACAGATTTTGCAGCAGCCAGGTGTTATGTGCCATCAGGTTGCATGCTCACATTGTCCAAAAGACAGTGTGAAGGTCTGGTCATACACCGGACTATTCGGAGAAAAAAGTTACATTTTATGAACCATTTGTGAAATTTTTCTAGATTCTTGAGGATGAAAGTGCTCTTATTACTCTGTTCATATTTAAAATCTTACCTGTACCCTATAGACAATGGAGATATGTATTAAATTTAGGGTGGAGAGAAGATATTCAATTTCAGTGGAATAGATTAAGACTTTCCCTTGTGCTTAGAATTTAAACACAAAAATTTTCATATGGTTTGACTATGAATTCCCCTGCTTTACACTAATTGTAAGGTTTTAGTGGTATCTTCATCTTTAACTAATTCTTCACTTTCTTCTTCAAACATATTGTACTTTTTTATCTGTTCTGTCCTACCATTTTTTTTCTACCTGTGCTTAAAGAGTAAACAAAGGTAGAATGAGCCAAGATAGTCTTGTCTATCTTTTGTTGTCTTCCTTTTACTCTGAAGTGAAAACAGATGTCATAAGACTGGGACAGGATATTTTTACGTTCATGAGAGTTTCCAGTGTTAGAGCAAAGCTAGTTTTGCTTCTGAAGCACAGCAGAACTCTTGCAAGTTCAGAATGTGAACAAAGACAGAAGCTGACTTCTGTGATACTTCTGTATCTGCTTAAGGAAGGCATGGGTATCTTTTTTGAAGTTGTGAAGAGGAGATTAACATGTAAATGTTGACTACCCACATGTAGGACACATCTCTTTCTCAGTAGTTTCAAAGTCTTGGGTTAGTAATATTCCATTTTAGTGGCAGATATATATCTGGATATGTAGATCTATGCTTTTGTCTTGACTGTAATTCATTGTATCTTCCAGACGTTTCTGCAGTAGCTTACAGTTCTGTATCATATGTCATCTCCAGTGCTGAAATACCACCTTCTAAATCCAACATGGATGTGTTTGATAATTAAGAGGTGTAATGCATGATGAAATATGTGTTGAAAACTGGGGTCCAAACTTACCTATTTTTGGTAAAACTTTGATGACTATGGGGAGCAAGGATGGTATGAAGTGTGCAGATTCTCTGAGATGGAGTTAGGTAAGAAGTACTATAGAATCCCCAGTGGTTCTCAGATACACTTAATACATTTTTTTTTATTTATTCAACAGGTAGAATGATTTAAGGTAAGAAGACAATGGGAAGTCAATCTTTTTTGTCCAAATCCAAGTAAAATTCCGTGCTTTCTTACTTTATTGCAGTCTGCTTCTCATCTCTACTTTCTATCACAAGTTATTTTACCAAAAATAGCAATGACTAAGCTCACCACTTATAATGATGCACCTTGCCTGACAGCTCTTCATATCAGTCAAAAGTCCAGGTCAGTCACTTATCAATTGACCCTGTGTTAAAGGTAGACCCTCATTTCAGCACCTGTCAATAGCATCTTTTGATGCATTTAGAGTGGAGCTGTTCCAGTAGAGCTATTTGTAAGTTAGCCTGCATGGACTTTAGAGAAAGGGAAACATTTATAAAACTCTGAAAGTAGTTTGGTGTCTGGTTTATTTGTATTTAATAAATAGATCTTTTTGTCTTTGTCTAGAGGACAATTTTCACTACACTAATATCACTGGGAGATGTGCTGATAGTGAGAAATGCAGTAAGTCCTACCAATGTACACAGTTAAAGCCCTTGCTAATCTCACATCCCTTTTCTAATACAAATGAACACAAATAAAAGGCTGGTCTCTTGTTCTTTGCTAATGTGGAAGGAGAACCTTTTGATTATTAGCTGCAGTTACCATGAGCTCCCAACCTGGGATGGTGTCTACGCTTCTCCTTCTGAGGTGTTAATCACAAATCTGCCAATCCTGTCCCACTTACAAGACAAGGAAAGAAATGTGAACATGTAAAAATTCACAGAGGGGCCCAGGAAAATTTCCCTGACACACTCCTGCTGTGACACCACAGCAATTGAAGAAGGCCTGTCATTTGGTTGTCAACCTTTGACCTCAACCAGACATATTTTGAAATGATGTGAAAAGAATTGCTGTGCTGTACGGCTGGCTCCTTACAGCTTTGCATGTCTGTCCTTGATGTCAGTCAAAAGTAGTTAACTGGCACCCATGGAGTCTAAAAAAAAAAGCTCCTTTAAAATATCAGTAATGACTTCTGTTAGCAAGACTAGCTCTTGTCAAGTAATGACTTTATGACATAAGGTATTGTTTATCTAGGCATCGTTCTCTTACTTGCATTTTAATGAGCCTAATTAATAATAAGTTAGAAGTCCTCAGCTATTTCTTCACAGCTGGACCATATGCACTAATTACACTGAGTGTGCAAACTTAGGCTAATCCCTTCGTCAAAAGAAATATTTTAATTTAAAAAACCTCAATGTACTTTTTTTTTCACCTGATTACTAAAGATGTAATCTTTTCATTCTGGCAAATTTACACAGAATCAAAGTAAACCCGGGAGTGGGAGAATTCTATAATTTATAATTTTTCTAGTGGTAGACTTGATTCTTAAAATAATTGAGAAAGATCATTCAAGAGCAGAGTGGTGTCAGGTTCATTTCAGATGTGCGTTAGGTTCCATAAAGGTAAGGGATTATAATTTTTAAGTTGAAGGATAATCACAAGTCTCTATGAGAAGATCCTTCCTGAATAGATGTATAAAGGATAAATATACTTTGGTGCAAACAAGTTGGGGGTGTTTCTACACTCAAAAGACAACAGAATACATAACACCAATCACACAATTCCCTAAAAATGATGAGACACTATTAGTTCCAGTCTAATAATAATGTGGTCAATAGTAGATCAAATATTACTGCTTGAAAATTAGCAGGGTGATTTTGCCATAAATGTGTACATTTGAAAACTAATGAAATGCAATTTGTTTTTATAATAATTACTAGTTTTCTTCTTATATGGTAAGTTACTTGACTGATATATTGGTGGTTGATTATTTTTCAAGCAGAAAAAGACCATACAATACTTTTACAAACCTTTGAAAACAAATACAGATCATAGATCATAGTTAGATTATCTTATCATATATATAACTGTAACATATATTATAACAGGGCACATAAGGAGCTAGAATCAAGAATTACAGTTAACTTCAGACTGATAAGATCATTATGTTAGATGGTTAAGTACCCTGATATCAAAACAGAGTGTATTAGGGATTCAGTTACTAAGAAGGGATGTTAAATAAAAATTAAGTATTAAAATCCTGTTGGCAGATATGAAATGGCCAGTTATCAGAACTCAATGTTTTCCAGCTTCATACCAGTTCAAACTCACGTTTGTCTATCTTCACAGTAGAAGCAGAAATCAAACCAACCACAATAAAACATGAGCTTCCCCCAAGCAGGATCACAGTTGTCCAGCTCTT